TAAAAAAATTCAGTCCTTGCACTTTTAAAAGACTTTTCATAATGTATTAAAATTTTAACATTTTAAAAATGAAAATACTTTGTTTTGGTACTTCAAAAAAAAAAAAAAAACTTTTTTAAAACGAGAGGTAACCATTTGGCAAAATATTTGATAAAATGTGCACATAATACAAATATCAGAATTCTACCATACTAACAAATGTGCATATGCCTGATTTGAGTGACTTCAAAATAAATCTGTTAATTAGTATGTATTTACAATATGTAAATAAATGATAAACCACGAATGAAAAGTCTTTTTATGCAAGTACTGTTCTAAATTTTCTCATATCACAAGTTCTTTTTTTTATCACAGCCCGCAACAAGTAAAATAGTTAACTGTTGGTAGTATTACATGTAAATATATAATGGTGTGCAGTTTGTATGGATTGATGCACTTGATATAAAAATCTGATGTTAAGTACTGTTGCTGTCCTTTCTGTTTGTGTATTCATCAGTGGTGTTAATGTGTTTCAATCAAAATAAATTGATGTTCAGCAAACAACAAACATATAACAACATGCTCTCCTTGTGAATTGCTTTGCTTTGGCTTCAAAGTTTTCTTTTTAAACTTTCACTGCATCAAAAACATTTTGTGAGATTTTCTTAATGTAATCACTACAGGTATTAAATTCTGTTTAAAATTTTGTTTTGCATGTAATAATATCCTCCCGAGAGTAGTAAAGAGCAAAGCTTTCTAATTCAAATACTTGCTCAGTGGTATATTGTTTAAGAAAAGAACTGTGGATATACTTTTTGCATTAAAATATTCAATCATTCCTGAAGTAGACCCGTAAAAGGGAATGATTTTTTTAAATAAATTAAATTTTCTCATTTACATCCAATGTGAGCCAAAGCAAACTCACTCATCCATTCCATTAATGCAGTTTTTAAATTTGTTAAAATTTACCTGGGGATTGAAAAAAATAAGAATAATTTAACAGTAATAATTGTTTAAACTATGCAGAGATGATTGTAAGAATACCTTTGACTAAAAGTAACAGAGACTGACATGTTAAATGCCATTGATTGTCACACTCTACAAAAAAAAATTAAATTCATAAATTTAAAACATAATTTCATTGCTTACACTTTTAAAGAATGTTGGACAAATTTGTTTAATTTGTTATAAAGGGTTAATAAATGGTATCCAGCAGAGAATCATTAAAAATCACATTTACACACACACAATTTAGTGAAAGGCATTTAGGGTCTGCCCAGTGTGTCGCCTTGTTGAAATTTTTAGTAACCGCCATGCACAATTTGCACCTGTTTAATCTCAGTAATCACTCAGATTGCCAATACATTTCTAGACTTAAGGGCATATAGGACACCTAACATGCACTTCAACGCATCAATTTTTTTAAAAAAGCAACTCTTGACAAAGTTAATCTAGAAAGGTGAATTTCACACAGCCCCCCACCTCCAAAAAAAAAATAGGGAAAATTTAGAAACAATACTAAAAAGATACAAATTGGTAGTAATTAATTTTTTTAAAAATGATGGATAAAATTTATGAGAATATCTAATTAGCCATGTGTCTCTAAATCTAAAAAGTATTTTTTGAATGTCTACATCTTGCTTGATTTCCCATTATTTTACACAAATGTTGAAGCTCCAATATATCAATGGTGCTTTTTAAAAATTATAAACTGTTGAAGCCTTTAGAGTCCTGTCAATACTTTCCATTCATTTAAGTCTAGAATAGCTTATGAATACATCCTCCACACCTGGTCTTCTAACAACTCATTCATGTAGGCATTGTCTGCACTTGCATTCCTAAAGAAAACGGCTGGTGGAACACTGAACTCTGGTAGCAGATGCCACTTCCTTCCAAGGCTTTCTGAAACCTGGGAATAATAAAGGATAGAATAAGCACTGCAAATCTAGAAATGACCCCACCCCCTTCACACCAAAGAGCGTAGACATGTTTAATGGTAACGTAATTTGACTAATAAATCGTTTTATTTAAAATTAAGATCTCTTTCCAAAACTCTCTAAGTCTCATTTTCCCTAATGAAAATCAATATCTTAATTCATATGATGAAGATTTTCGCATGATAAAATCCTAACAGAAATGCTAACAGAATAACCATAAAATAAACATTTTAATACAGGAAAAATAGCAAGTTAATATTATTAATTACACATGTTAAAATCATAATATACAGCATTTAAAATATTGCCAACATTCTCACCTTGTACTGCAGATCCAAGAGAGCTTCATCTTCATCGTAATAGTCTTCATCTTCTTCACTCCAGAAAACACAACAAGATGGCACCATCAATTCACGTAGTCCACTCCTGAGGCGGGCTATGGCTACCAAGTCTTTCTGGTCCAAAGAAACACCTGAAATTTCCACAATGTTGTTGAGGAAATGGTTTTTAAATTTTGATGAATTTCTTTAAAACAAGCTTTGTTAGAAAACTTTTGATTGTAAAATAAAGAGAAAGAAAAATTACGCTAGTGAAACAAATTTTCAACTAGTGATAGAGTTGAAGGCAAATTTGGTAAGAGCTTCATTGAATCTGATGAGTACCAAATAGTTTTATTTTATAAAAGAGGTATTGCACAAAAACAACTTACCAATAAGTTTCAAGACTTCCAGTCTAGTGCAACGCCAGGCCAGCATTACAAAAGGATCCTCTGTATCATAACCATTATTATAGTTGATGGGTTGAATTTCAATTGCTTCTATAATTGTTAGGGAGCGCAAGGTAGAGCGGTAGTGACTGCTTATCATGTTTAACGATGCAACGCTTATGTCTCCACAAAAGTACTGACGAAAGTGTGTTAGCGGCATAGAGGGTTTCAGAATATCCAAAAGTGCCTGAATGCCTTCTATGGAGTGTACTAAGTTTAGTGTCAGCTCCAAGTTAGGACTAGCATCAGTCAGTTCCTTCCACATTTCCTCTGTAGGTTGTCTTGGGCCAACACGGTGGATATGAATGCTGAGACTCTGCAAAGGAGGAGCTGTGTGCTTACGGTGAGCTAAAGTTGCCATTAACTTTGGGGAGAGAAAATCATAGTCTAAACTCAGAGATCGCAGATTTGAAAATGCAGATATGCTGTCTAGTCCAATGAAAGGAAGGTTATAGTTACTGGAGTCTTCCTTCACACTGGCAAGATGAAGAGATTGGAGTGAGGGTCCATGATGCTTGACAAGTAGACTGAGCACTTCTTGGGAGTTATTTAAAAGGATTTCAGTGCAGCCCAAAGACAAGTGGAGGAGACGCCTGTTTTTTTTCACCACCAATCGAAGTGATTCAAGAAAGCTGGGGAAAAAACATCCATTCATTATTGACTACTTTCAAAACTAAAAGAGACGGGAATTATTGAACAATAATTATATATATATAGATGACTATGAGATTGCACATAGATAAACATGGAATGTGAATAGGATTATGTGATCAAATGATAGTGCAAGAGCAATTAAATAAAACTATGAATGGAGCAAGATTAAAATTACTGCCTGTGGTTTTCAGAGGGTGGTGGTGGTTGAATTGTGTCAAATACTCCTCAACTAAGCTATAAAATAATAATATCATTATTGTGTAATGGCTAAGAAATGTGTCCCTGAAAAAAAGCTCAATAGGCTATTCCTAAAAATGATATTACAGTGAGATGTTTTTATTATTTAAAAATTATAATTTTTTTTATATATAATAAAATAAATCAATTCATCCAGATAATTCATTTCAAACTAAATTTTTTTTTTTGAAAAAAACAATCGTTTCAAGACTTAAGTAATGCTGTTGAATTTAATTCTCTGAGGTGAGGCAAATAAAATCGTTTTTGTTTTATCAAAATATAATGGGCATTGAAAATAATTTGTATATACTGTCCGCCTTCTTTTTTTTTTTGAGGCAGAGCTTTCACAATATGGAAATTTCCTAGGGATGTTCTAGATTAACATTTTGGCAAAATCTGACGCTCAAATGATAATTGCTTATATTGGCCTTTGTGGTAGGTAGACATAGCTTAGCAGGTGATTTAAAACTGCACAATTTTCAAGGAGAAGTTCTGTAATTAACCAATGATAACTGCTTTTAGTATTTTATTTCAGTGATTTACATTGCTTTGTGTCTGTTTAACTTTACTTTCCAATAGATATAGATACTGGCATATTGATGTACTGATTACAAGATTCATTGAAATATAGTTTTTTCATAAAATAACTTTTAAGGCCAAAAAAGTTTTTTGGAAATGGGTATCAGCAACTCATTATTTTCAATATAAATAGGCATCTTGATATTATATTTTTAAACTTCATTTTATGCTTTAGCTCATTATGTTTTCTGCTTCCATAAAAAAATGCATATGATAATTGTTCTGTAAAAACCAGTAACTGATATTCGTTTTCAAAAACAGAGTGATAATAGGAAATCTGATTATCCTTTAAAGTACCAATAAAACACATGAAGATAATTACTCTAAGAGCTAGGGGCCATCCATAAATGATGTCACTCTATTTTTGCTGCAAATTTGACACCCCTGCCTTTCCCCACTGACACACACAAAATTAGACACATATAGGCCTACCCGTCCCCACTGGACCAGGCCTGCACAACTCAAAATGTAAGGTGGGTTGTAATACTTAATGAAAAACTTGTCAAGGCCAAAAGATTATTAATAAAGACCATTTCCTTACTTCCTGAGCCACAAGTGGGTGCTGGCGGACCATATGTTATGCAGGCCTACACCAGATGAGTAATGTCACTGTTAGCTAGTAGGGGAGGTATGGAAATATAGTGGCTTGGTGTGACAATGGTGAGAAGTAGAGGGATAGGGTTCTTATCAGGGAAAGAAAATTGGTTTGGGAACAAGTGGAGTTGATGACTGATACTGATAGGTTTTGTTGTTTTTTTTTAGAGGGGGGGGGGTTGATGCTGAGAGTTACTTGAAGAGTTGTATGGGAAAGGGAGAGTTTGACATTAGATTAGCTTTAGTTAGTTAAAGACTATAAATATATATATAGGGAATGTACCATTTTCCAACACATGTAGGCATGTCGTCCCATGTAATGTTGTAAAATGTTAACTGTCTTATTCTTTAAATCTTTATCCCCTAATAATATCAATCATTGCATCCGAACAGCCATAAGAGCAAAAGTTCCAAATGGTACAGTTCAGAGCTTGAACTTGGACTTTTGGTGCATTATTGGCATTATTTTGTTTGTTTGAAGTAATTTGTTGTTACCAACGCCAACAGTACAATTTGGTCTCTCTTTGGACTAGACTTATACATATTATATAGAGTATAGAGTATATAATAGACTTTACATAAGATAGTATTAGTATAAGCAGTATAGCTATAATTACAGGCTATAGAAAATGAAATTAAAATAGAATTGAATTTATTAAATGGAAATACTGCAGGCCTAACTAAGAGACTACTAAGTCTAAGTCTAAGTCTAAGTAACATCATTATCATTTCAGTACTGTCAGTGTCAGTTTGAGTATAGTAGTTATTATATCCATAAATTTAAAAATAAAAATTCATTGTTAAAAGAGGATTTTAAACAAATCAATCAGTTATATAAAGTAACAAAGAATTTCGTTACAGGCATGCTAAAATACAAGTAATAATGCTAGGCTACGTTTAATAATGTTGACTAAAAACAGCTGATTCAAAACGAGGCTATGTAAACAATTCAACATCATGCAATCTGGGACAATGTACTTTACCTTTCCAAACTGCCATCGCCTCCATCGAAATAACAATTTGATGGGCGAAGGGACAAGCATTCCAGTTGTCCATTTCTAGACAACAGTTCTAATAAACGGGTACAGTCCCATACTTGCGAACTTCGCGTCGAATTAAACTCAATCGTTACTTCCTTCACAAATTTCGCGCATTTGGAACTAAAAAATCTGGATCTTGTGCGGCCTTTGTAATTCAAATTGAAGGTTATCACCGGCCAAAACTGAGGCAGAAACAGATATTCCCTCCATTTATGACACGTTGATGAGGCTCTGATCCTGTCTTTGGGAGACAGTTTCGAAAAAATATCCTCAAGGACAACACTGGGCAGTGAAGCCCAGTCGCCTCCAGCTGCCATTTCTTACATTTCTGACGTAAACGTCACGTGACTAATGTTGTGCTTTAAGATCTAAATTTAGACCTATGGTTCTCTCAAGACCACGTGGGTTTTTTTAAATAGATTTTACGTCATTTTTGTAACAGGGACTGCGTTCTTCCCTCTGATGCCAATGATTTGCATTCACGGCGTAGGTGGAGATGGTCTAGCATGTCTAATATTTTATGTCAATATTCTAGTGTCCCACTCGCTTTTACACCGCAGATTTATTTCACCAACTAAAACAAAACGAAAATATTACACACCAAACGCACTTACGATATTATTTTTGTTTAAAGATTCTCATTTAGCGCAGTAATCGGGAATTTTATTTCGTGAAATCAGTGTCATCATATTCTTCTTTTTCTTCTATATTTGTAAGGGTCCACTATCAATTTATTGATCATTCTGGCTCCTGTGCATGTAGAGGGGATTTGCAATTTTTCTGCGCCTGATATTGACTATTGTTCACGAGGATATTTTACTGGTTGCAAGGGCTACTTAGTGAGTGGACACTGTGGGGGGGGGGGGGGGGGGGGGGGGGGGGGGGGGCGGGGGTGTCCGGAAGGTCTGAGGCAATAGACACAATTGCGTCAAGTGTTGTTGCCTCAACTATTCCTTTTGGAAGCTTGTTCCAGTACATGATTGTCTTTGGAAAGAATTAGCAGTTGCTGTACTGGCTTCTTGATGGTATGAGCCGGAGCTGTCATGGCCACGTCACTGTCTATGGGTGAGAGGGACACGTTTCTGTTTAATGCTGGAGCAGAGGACCAGCCCATTATTTATCTTGTACATCATGGAGAGCCTAGACAGTGGTCGTCGTTCCTCCAATGGCGACCAGCCTAGTGTTTCCAGCATGCTGCAACACTAGAGGTGTTCCTGTAGTGGTTTAGGACAAAGCGTGGGGCTGAAAATTTTAAAGAATGTGTTACCATCGGTAACGAGTCTATGTGTCAAGCAGTGTTTCTTTTAGAAATTTTCCCCTGGGGTGGGGGGCACTTCAGATTTAACAGGGGGGGGGGGGCAGTGCCAGCAGTTCCAGTTGATTTATTGTTGGACATATGTTTGATCCGGGTGGCACTTGGCTTTCCCCGGGGGACAGTGTGTCCCCGGAGATATAGCTGAAAGAAACCCTGGTGTCCATTTTCAGCTCGATATGTTGACTGGATGTAGGTCATTTAGCTTCCTGGAGATTTGGCCACACCTCCAGACAGAAAGAAAGAAACACACGAACAAAAGCGAAGTTGATATAACCGATTATAAAATGTACTGTATTCATGTCTCAAATCCATTGTCATCGAAATGTACTCATGGGGAAACCGATCAAACAAGCTGACAAAGCTGACTCACTGTTGGAGCATAAGCTGACAAAGCTGACTCACTGTTGGAGCACAAGCTGACAAAGCTGACTCACTGTTGGAGCATAAGCTGACAAAGCTGACTCACTGTTGGAGCACAAGCTGACAAAGCTGACTCACTGTTGGAGCACAAGCTGACAAAGCGGACTCACTGTTGGAGCACAAGCTGACAAAGCTGACTCACTGTTGGAGCACATGATCTTCAGAGCCATTTAGAGAGTAAACGTACCGCTAACACCAAAAGAAGGCGCACAGTTCGCACATCAAGGGGAGAACAGAGTCGCCTACCATCCAACTGGACATCTAAACACGTGTGGTCGTGTGTCCTTAAGCCTTTCCAGCCACAAACCGGACTGGCAGGCGACCTCGCGTCGAATATAGCCTTGGTCGTTTGCGCATGCGAAAGACGAACTACACGCAATTTTGTAGAGTTGAATTAACGCGTAGTTGATAATTAACACCAACTACCACAACACATTTTTCTTTTGTTAAGGAGTGATCAGTGAAGTGGAATATTTCCCATACTTGTGTCGTTTTTTTGTTATTACCGTCTTATTCTGTCGACCAAATTACCGATGCCGTCTCACTTAATGTCGTAACAATTCACTTTTTAAAAAAAAACAACAACAAAGGCTGTTGGCTGCGAAGACTATCGGGTGTGAATAGCCATTTTGTCTAAGGGGACCCGGGTACCTATAACCACACCGAAAAAGAAAACAAAAAATAAGCATGGTCAACCGATCGCTGCTACTCATCAAAGGCAGACACAATAGAAGCTCTATTTCCGGTACGCTGTTTAAAAAAAAAAATCATTAAAAACAAAAGAACGAATTTAATTATTTTTAAAGTGGTGTGAGTGTGTGTGTGTGTGTGTGTGTGGGGGGGGGTAATTTTAAATCAACCCTCACAATTTATTTGGGAACTGAAGGACAACATTTCTGCTTTAGAGGGATTAATTATGTAAAACTATAACCGGAAATCCAGTTATCGGGTTTGAAACCGATAACCGGCTGTTGATTAAAAAAAAAAAACCATCATAGTTTTTTCTTCTTTAAAATTGATAGGCGTATTACTATGTTTGANGGGGGGGGGGGGGGGGGGGAGAAGGGGGAAGCAAACTAAAAGTAAAAGTCTGTCTCGGGCGGCACAATGTCTCACTACACCACTGCTACCAAGAACCTTCTGGTCTTGCAATTTCATCTATTGAAAGTAATAAGGCAAAGAATGTTGATTTTGATAAAATGGTTGGCAGGCCGGCATCTTTGGATACCATGAAAGTTAAGTTTTAACGGTACAGTTTAACGTTTCACTAAAAAGTACATTTGCTGATTTTTTTTTAAAACGCTGTTGTCTCAACTTGATAATTCTGTGTTGTTCTTTTTTTTTCCTCTTATGTCTTTTGTTTCTTTAAGACTTAATTTACTGCAGTGCTGTACTATAAGTGATTCTGCACGAACTGGTGAAGAGGTACTCGGGGTCCAGGCGTCGGAGGGAGTGACAGCATACGTTTACTGCAACGGGTTATACCCACGTGGCTTCTGAATACATAGTCAAAACCGATAACGGGATTGAACTACCCCCCCCCCCCCCCTGAAGAGGTACTCGGGGTCCAGGCGTCGGAGGGAGTGACAGCATACGTTTACTGCAACGGGTTATACCCACGTGGCTTCTGAATGCATAGTCAAAACCGATAACGGGATTGAACTACCCCCCCCCCCGCATAAAAAACAACAACAACTAACAAAACAACAACAACAACACGATATTAACATCCGTTATTAGCTCCCTACTTAGTGTTACCTTATTGTGGTCTGCTCATATGTAGGCCCATAACACAACTTGTGGGTTTGCACTAAAATGTTATTTTCCATGGTTTTATTACGTATAGAAGAAGGCCTACATTAACCAACTGAACAAAGTGGATTACATATGAACTGATTGAGAAGAAAACAGCCGTTTTACCCTTAGAATGCGATGTCTTTTTACCCTTAAAATCTGATGTTTGGAACATTGAAAACTGTCTCTCTCTCTCTCTTTCTCTCTCTCTCTCTCTCTCTCTCCGATATTTAATGGACACAAACTTTAAAAAAAAAAAAAAGTATTTTACACTGTTCCGCTAATACTTCTTGCCCTTCTTTTCTTCTTCCACTAACGTAGTCCTGGCACTAACTCTTAAAAAATCATAACCAGCCTCCTTGCAAACCCCTCCAAAAACACTGGAACTTTTTTATTGGTCGAACTCCGCGAGCTCGTCGTAATGATGTAATTGGATTTCTTAGTTCAAGTTTTTAACGATATTATGTAAGACTCGAGAATACCATTTTGCTTTCTATTCTATAACATAAGAGACATTCTTGGGCTCTAATCGATCTACTTTACCTCACTCCAAATAGTCCTACTACAACTGAATTTTTAAAAAAAAAATATTTTAAGTGTGATAGCTAATTCGATTATAGGCCTATAGGCTACTCATAGGGGTCATTCATGGCTTCATCGATCAACGGGCTACTAGTTCACAGATGAACTACCCGAACAACCTCACAATCAATGGTCGCCTGCAGAAACTCGGGCCACATCAACACACACGGCAAGCCACTAATCGATCAGCTGACCCAGCCAACGCACCAACCGAGGAGGTGATGCTAAAAATAGCCCTCAACCAGCAATGTAGCACGCTTGTAGGATTCACTAGTGCGTTTTATAGGGCACTTATCTCCCGACCAAGCTACACAGCCACCATCGTGCAGCGAGAGACGCCGACCTAGCTAGGCATTAGGCTAGCTTTGTGAGTTCAGGTTTCCGTTAATGTTAAACAATAGCTTTCTAAAGGAACGTTCTTCAATATCTTTTGATTCTTGAAATCAGTTTTATGAGCGTGTGTTTTATTGCGAATGAACTCTTGTAATCATGCTGTGATGTCGGCTGCAATTAAAGACTAAGACATATTCTTTCATAATCATAACGAAGAGCTTTGTTTTTGTAAGCTTGTATAGGAATGAAGTAAGTTGTGAAGTTTATTCAACGCTGTGTCTCATGAATTCGTGTCCAACAACAATATAGCCGTTTCCCGGAGATTTTGACGGACCAGTGAATTTCCAGAAAGCTTTGGCATTGGCCATCGTCTTAGGACATAATATGTGGTTCGTTAACTCTTTAAAAAACAAAACAAAAAAGCCTCAATGTCGGATTATTCATATGAAAAAAAAAATATATATATAAGTGTGTGGTCGGGGCAACAAGCCCAGTGCTCCTGAGGTTCAAGGGGCGATAGAGCCGGTCTTAGGAAGGCCGTCGTCTTTTATAGTTTTCACACGTGCAGTTGTTATATAGCCTAGCTATAGATGTAGATGTTATATAGATAGGCATATGGCTATAATGTGCCTTAAATAATACATGTTTTTACAATGCAAGATGATGAAGTATTTTTATAGTGTTTAAACCTTTATATGTGTAAGAAAGTAGGATACATTTTTATCCTCTGGGCATTAAGATATTGTTAATGAAAGCAGTTCAAGGAAGTCACCTCTTGTTGGTACTAAACTACCAATAGTATCTGAATGCACCCCGCACCTTTTAATAAAAAAAGACACATCCTAGATCTACCCGTGCCGATACGATAATCAGGGTCTATGTGGTTTGCGAGAAGATTAATAATGATGGGTAAGATAGTCTTTGTCCTTTGTGTAAGTCTTTGTGTAACGATAACCACTGGTATTATGTTCCACGTGTAGGTCTACATCCTTTCCCCCAAAGCAATGCACCGAAAGATTTAAACATTCTTTTTTTCCTGAGCCTCACTCCGTCAGAATTGACAAGCATGCTCTTCTCATGGCTGTTACAATATGTAAATAATCACTCTTCAGGTCAATATTAGCAATACATGAGTGAAGTTTTTGTGGTGTAATATGGCTGCTGATCTTTGCGTTTGAGAAACACTTTAGAAGTATCGTGTTTAAATTGTCATAGATTAAAAATGTCACTAGGTAAGAATTTTCATGTATGTGCTGAAAATGAATATGTACAATGTAATGTTTTAACAATTCATGTTATGGGACCTATAAAAGAATCCTATCGTATCTTAGTCTGAATCTCTCTACTTTGATTTGAGAACCTCGCTTACGTTCTATGACCCCGACCCTGAGTTAAAAACTTGTATTGCGTCCTATGACTCCGACCTGATTGACAACATTGACTACGTGAGCTGCCGCGACGCAGACATTGTTTTGTTGTGGGAATAAGTAGGGTTCAGGATGGAGATGGGTGAAATCTTCAAGGACACCGAGTCAAGATGGAGATGGGTGAAATCTTCAAGGACACCGAGTCAAGATGGAGATGGGTGAAATCTTCAAGGACACCGAGTCTACCATAATGTGACGTTAAGTAGATGTTATTCGTTAAAAAAAGTAAGCCTCTGTTAATATGTCGTAATGAAGCAATTTTAGCGACGAGCCAAATCAGTGCCGCAAGACGCGTGTTGTATCCGTTGCAGCAACTTTTAGAGCAGTTGTTCCACCGCCTGATGGGCTCCGAGTGCACGTCTCGGGGCCAACGCTGACCCTCCAGGAATCTCTTAAAACTATTATTAAGTCGCAAGACATAGGGTTAGTCGCAAGGGGCTTCTCTATAGAAACTGATTATATATTTTTAAAAAAAAAAAAAACAACCAAAAAAACCAAAGGCTTCGCGAGTCAAAAAAGTTTGGGAAACTCTGGTTTAGAAGTTGCACCAAGAAGAAGACCGGAACTTGAAGTGAAGTACGGCAAATAAATGACCTTTAATTAACGGTTACTGCGGATTACAAGGAAATCACCAAAAAAACACAAACAAACTTCAGTTCGCTATAACTGTCCACGGCCGAGAGAGTAAATACATTATAGAATAATCCGGAGATAGACCAGCGGCTTACGATTCTCCTCCAACACCTCGCACAGGCTCCGTACTTTCAGGCTCCGTATTTGCAGGCTCCGTACTTTCAGACTCCGTACTTTTAGGCTCCGCTTTTTCAGGCTCCGTACTTTTAGGTTCTGTACTTTCAGGCTCAGTACTTTTAGGCTCCGTACTTTTAGGCTCCGCTTTTTCAGGCTCCGTACTTTTAGGTTCTGTACTTTCAGGCTCAGTACTTTTAGGCTCCGTACTTTTAGGTTCTGTACTTTCAGGCTCCGTACTTTCAGGCTCCGTACTTTCAGGCTCCGTACTTTTAGGCTCCGTACTTTCAGGGTCCTAACTTTTAGGCTCCGTATTTTAAGTTCTGTACTTTCAGGCTCAGTACTTTCAGGCTCCGTACTTTTAGGCTCCGTATTTTTAAGTTCTGTACTTTCAGGCTCAGTACTTTCGATAGACAGTCGGATGTTTAAAAAAAAAAACGAATAAAAAGGGCTCATGCCTTCCGTGTCAGGTCTAAGGGACAGAATGCCAGCGAGACATTTGATCACATTCGTTTTAATTTAAAGTTTAATTATCTCGGCTGTTACTGACCCTGTTTCCCCATCACTCATTCCGTCTCGTGAAGTATTACCCATTACGCGGAGTTAAGTGATGTTATTTAACCTTGAGAAAATAGCGCCTTCATTAATACTAACTGTATCCCAACGCAACCTCCTTTTTTCCTTCTCTCCATGTTTCTCTCCAACAACGACGCCACTGTTACGTTTTGAAACTGTCTTTGAATCTTGTCTGTAGCGTTTTTGGGGCACTGTATTTATTTTCAGATATCGAGGCACGTAAACAGTGGACATTATAAAGTCAACATTATACGGTGGATAGTATACAGTGGAGATTATAAAGTGAACATTATGCAGTGGACATTATAAAGCCAACATTATACGGTGGATAGTATACAGTTAACATTGCACAGTGGACATTATACAGTCAATGCTACTGCTGTCACACTCCCTCGGCTTCTACACAGTGGCGACATTTCATAATGGCGTCGTTCGATCCCAGGATGATTCCAATGCACGCGGGCATCCATCACAACAGTTTGGACCATGTTGGCCAGAGGTACCCGCAACACCAAGCTGGTCAGCACAGTGACCAGCAAGGCCAAAGCGGGCGCCTCAGACAAGGGTCGACCACGTCCGAGTCGAAAACTGAAGCTGGTCCCAACTGGGAGAACGTCTACCGGACGGCCCAGAACATTGGGTTTCCCGATCCCAAGGTGGCGTGTGGCGACGTCGTTGGCGAGTTCTTGGAAGACACGGCAAGAGGAATCGGCTGTCCGGTGGAATACGTCTTGGTCCCAATGTTGCCATGTATTGGTGGTGAGTGCAGGGTTAATTTAAAATATAACGCTACATTCGGTTCAATGAGTGATGGTAATGGTGTGGAGCGATACGTAGGCCCTATTATAAGTATAAAGACTTATTTGAGGCGACCCAAAATAGGTCTGTTTTTAAATGTTAGTATTGTAATTGTAATAAAAAAATTGTAGGATCATTTATGGTATTGGAGTCCCCCCCCCCCTCACCTTGGCAGCTGTTGTCTAGCACCAGGGAGTTGGAGCTGGCAAAATTTTCGTCAGCTCCGCGCCGAGCTCCGGGAAAATTAAAAAGGGAGGAGGGGTGTTTGAGGGGATGTTGTGTTTAAAGGAAAGTGTTTATTTTTGTCACCACCTTATTTTATGAACTATGCAATAGCAATGCATGTAGGCCTACTGACAACATAGAGGTAGGAATATGGTGGTGGGAAAATAGCCGTGAAAGAGTGGGGCAACATAGCAGGTAGAAGAGTTGGGCACATAGCAGGTAGAAGAATGAGGCAACGTAGCTTGTAGAAGAGTTGGGCAACATAGCAGGTAGGAGAGGGGGGCAACATAGCTGGTATAAAATTCAAATGATTTAATTTACAATTATTGAGCTCGGAATGTTGAAATTTTACCACCTCCAGCTCCATCGCAGCTTCGGGCAAAATGACCTTTCTGAAGAGTTCCGCTCAAAATGCCTGTCCAGCACACAACCCGACCCAGGTAATTTGGGGGGGGGTGGGGGGGCCTTTGGGTGCTTTCCCCCCTTGTCGTTGTGGTATCCTCTGACACATTTAATAACCCATCCTATTTATTGTGACAAACCCAAAACACCCCAATAGCTAATAAATTTTACCTCAGATACTTGGAAAAATAATTTTATTAATTTGGCATTGCAGGTATCCTAGGAACCAAGACCACCATTCGCGTACACAGAGCATGGTCAGAACCTCCAGTGCTATGGAGCATTGTTGGTTCTGCTGCAGGCTCCAGGCGTTCTTCAGTCATTCGACAACTTTTGTCACCCATTTTGGCATTGCAGGCAGATAGAGAGGAAACAGAGGGTCAAAGGTCCCCCAAACAAATCAAATTGCAGGGAAACGGTCAGTTTGAAGAGAATAAGAAGAAAAACTCTGTGCAAAGAAGAGCGCTTTACACAGGTACAATAGTGATTATTACCTTTTCTCTTGAAGAAGAATGCCTTTTTGTGTAGTATTATCTTAACATTTAATTAACTGAATTTTTTTTACAAATCATTGTTTTGTTTGGAGTGTTTTTAATGGTATAGGGCCTACATTTGATTTACGTTTATATATATATATATATATATAAATATATATATATATATATATATACACAATTTTTCTTGCATCTTTTATTTTTATATTGCAATATTTGGGGATACACCTGCCTTGCGCCTCACAATCTTTTGTATATCAGCATATTTTTCTCTTTTTTGTGTAGTATTATCTTAACATTTATTTATCTGTATTTTTTTTACATATCATTTTTTTGTTTGGAGTGTTTTTAATTGTATAGGGCCTATATTTGATTTACGTTTATATATATATATATATATATAAATATATATATATATATATATATATACACAATTTTTCTTGCATCTTTTATTTTTATATTGCAATAGTTGGGGATACACCTGCCTTGCGCCTCACAAGCTTTTGCATATCAGCATATTTTTCTCAATTTGTAATTTTCCCTTTATGAATTATTTCCAATTCAATCAGGTACTCGCATCACACTGACTGCTTTGACTGATGTATTACACTGCAACGATGGCCACGCCTTCAGTCTTGCGGAGGATGTCGAGAACCTTCATAACCTGCTCATGCAGCCTGTAACATGCCCTCGACTGGCCTCAGTGATGGACGATCTCTATGAGGGTCTGCCGCTGGTCGCCGTGGAAGATGGACGTGTCACCACTTTACTCGGAACTAATTTCTGCCAAGGGGGTATGACGTGTGTTTAATACAATGGCTTCTAAAGCATAAAACCTGAAAGAATGACAGAGGATACTAATTTAGTAAATTTTTGGTCCAGCTGAACCTCTTCATGTATTATCAACTAGTATGGCCATTAGCAGTTTAGCCAAAAATCTTAAGCTTGAAATCTACATTTTCTATAGGGCCAATTGTGATCCACGACAAGATTCCTATACTGACTATGCCTATAGCAAAATTTTATAGACTAGTTTAAAAGTTTAGACAGTATACAAGTTTAGACACTAGTATTAAATGGTAGATGTTAGCATAAATGTTTAGACATTAGTATAAAATTAGTGTCTAAACTCTTATACTAATGTCTAAACTTTAATACTTTAAGTTTAAACTAAGAGTACATTGTGTTTGTTTCTTCCACTCAGGATTTGCCCGTCCAGAGTACATTGTGAGAACCATGTTGAAATCTCCATCTTGGTTGTCTGCTAGATTTTTGCTGTCTTGTCCCCAGTCAGATGATATGAAGGGGGTGTTTGGAGACCCCGTGTGTAGCACTGAACTCCCAGAATTGGAACTGATCTACTCTATTCTGTTAGAGAAGCACCAGAATAGACAAAATTACGCATTTGATCCAGATGCTGTGCAAGAATTAAGCAAATTTTTTGAAGAGGAATGGACATCAGTTTTAAATCAGCTGGACCAGAATGAACATGAGGGCATTATAGGCAAATCAATGGGTCAGATTGTACGTCTCAGTGGGATACTCAAGGCTCTTGAAAACAGTCTTCTCAGTGCTAGGGCTAAGAGCCAAGCCAGGGACCAGGAATGGGACTGGAACATAACAGCTGGAACCGTGAAGAAAGGAATAATATTAGGTAAATATTTCATGGAACAAAAACTGGCCATGACTTTTATGGTTGGAACAGGTTTTTTCAATCACTATTCCGAAATGTCATTTGACAGCGGTATGAATGGGAACGCCACAACCCTGCCACAGACCGCCATCCATGTTGGATCTGAGCAACAGTGCAGGTGGAGTCCAGCTGCAAACACATCACGGTCATTCAGTCAAGATTCCACTGCGGCCAATTCGCTGCAAGGCTCACAGCAGAATCCGAACTCGTCATTTAGCTTCTCCAAACGGGCAGGGGATGTCGACTTCAGCACACTCCCCCACACCATGAGCACGGTGGAAGAAGATGTCAGTGAGATGATGCAGGCTGTAGACTTTGTTCACTTCTCCAAAACACAGTTTGTAGCTGTGCACGGCAGGCGCATCAAACGACTTCTAGAATGCTATGATGATGGACACGGTGTCTCTGCAACGACGGCCGCACAAAAATCGATCACCCCACCGGTCCGTATAGAAGGCACCAACAATCGTCATCCAGCCTGGGCCAGCGCGCTATTCTTTCAAAAAGTTGCAGAGCTCGACCTGGGTGCTGCCGAGCAGGGCAGGCATCCTACAAATAGAAAAGTCTGTTGGCGTTTCAAAAGGAAGCCCGTTGGTCAGTTACAAGAGAAAGATTTTCAGCTGCTACAGTATCTCCGTGTAGAAATGGAAAAATATTCTCAGTTTGGGTCTGGTCCATTTAATCCAAGTATGATTGTCAATTCTGGCCTGATAACACTTCCAAACAGCTCAAGTCCACGCCATCAAGTGGGTGGAGGTTTGAGTCCTGTCGTTGGCGGAATGGACGATGATTCAAATACAACCAATAGTCAGAACAGTTCAAGGAATTCAGCCACACCTATAATTAAGACTGAAATATATTGATTAAGTCATTGACAAGTTACAGAATCCTCAGAAGTGGCTCTACTTATAAACATTCAAATAGTTAGACAAAAGGACATAAAAAAAAATAAGACAAGTAACAAGTTATGTGTTACTCAATCAATTAAAATCCCACAATTTCAATTAGACCACACAAGTCAGGCACTAGACCTCACAAGTCAGGCACTAGACCTCACAAGTCAGGCACTAGACCTTACAAGTGAAGCAGTATGGAATAACAATGAAGCTGGAAGCCCATTATTTCAATTGAAAATAAGCTTCTTGATCTGTGAATGACATATATAATGAGAAATAAATGACATATATAATGAGAGATAAATGACATATATAATGAGAGAGAGAAATAGTGAAAATCTTTTAATGAACACCAGAGATAAAATATAAGGGACTTCCATGACCTCTTGGAAGATACCTGGACCAGGCCAGCCAATGAAACTGAACAAAAGTCCTGATGATTTAAATTATTGGCCCATTTTTTACAATAATTTTTTGTGTGTATTTACCAGATAAATAATAACAGATAGTGACAGGCGAGTGGTCACAAACTAAATGTAAGCTGAGTGAATCCACAAAAAAGTCCTTCTGCACCACAACTCAGGTCCACATTCTTCACAATAAACCAATTAACCTTCTCAACCCCTGCCCACCAAAGCTTAACTTTAATTAGTGTCATCAAGTTATTTTGTTAGATACTCTAAGAAGACTGTTCATTCCTGGTATCCAGTTGTGCATTGAAATATAAAGATGATAATATAGAGGTCATGATACACTAAGCCAAAACAATATTTCGTAGCTCAAATGTTTTATTCTTCCCGTAACAAGTTTAATGCCTTGCCTGCTTTTAAACATTAGAATGTCTGGCAGTTACTCTGCCTTTAAACAATAGAATGTCTGTCTTTTATACAGAAATGAAGCAAAAAAACAATTTGACAGCAACAGAAACTGAAAATTACATGCCAATTTTACAAACAATGCAGGAGAGTAATAAAATGAAAGAAATAATTTCAGAAGTTGTTTGCACTGGTAATGATCACAATGTTAATGACAAATATTTGGAACCCAAGTTAATATTTTGCATGCTTGTCAATGTATAGGCCTATTTGTTTTTAGCTTTAGAACCATATTTTTAAAATGTTCAAACAACTGCTTTAATATTTTGATTCTCTTCAAATAAATATTTTTTATGATTTATAATAATTTGGTATTAGTTCTGTTTATTTTCTGATGTCTGAAGGTTGAAAAGTTGTTAATTTAAAAGCTTGACTATCAATATCTTATCCAAAAATCATTTAGATTTGATTGGTTTAATTCAGTTGTTCACAATGCAAATTTACTAAGGTGTTCAAAGTTCCTTAATTTTTACAATGAAATTTTACTTAAATAAAGGTAAATACGTAATTCTGTATTTTATTTTCTAAAAAAAAAAAAGGGCATGCGTTCTCCACTCAGTGCAGTTTTATCGGATATGAAAATAGTTCAATTGCAGCTCCAAAAGTTTAAAAATTGTCTAAATTTATCAGTTATTCAGCAAGACTGCTTTTGTCCATAGTGAGGCTGGCTTAAATTCTGGTTGATGTCGCAATGCCATTAAAGATGCTGAAAACGGAAAAAAAAAAGCATGAGTTATAAGCAATCAATAAAGTAAATATATTTATCATTATGTACAGGTACGAAAAAAAAGTATTGAAAATGGTTATCCATGTATAAGATAAAAATGTACTAGTAAATCGGTTCTCAACCTGTGGGTCAAAACCCCCTTTGTGGACACCTGACAATATGCCAGGGATTACTTGTGAACTTTAGAAATTTGACTTTTTTGTAAAATTTGCAATTTTATATGTAGTACCATTTGTTTTAAAATTTAAATACAGTTCAACACCGGTTTCTCAATGCAACAAATTGGCAACTGTTAACAGGGTGGTCACTGCACTAAAAATGTTGATAAGTTCTGTCCTAGCATAATCTACAAGCTAAAGTAATGCACAAAGGTTGGTTTGGATCACACATTGGATCTTGAAATATGAGAGAAAGCAGAATAAAACAATTATGAAAAAAATAATTCTGAATAAAAATGCAAAATTTTGTTAACTGTTGATTTATTTTGTTTACACTTCTTTCCATCAGTTTGGATGACTGTGTAGGAAGAAAATAATCATCAAGAGTCACACTTTAAATAATTATTGATTTTGTGAACAACTAATATTTAATTTTCATGACACCCAATTTACGGAATGGGAACTTTCTGGGGTGTATGCTGGGGTATTTTGTTGCTACAGCTCTACTTAAAAGTCTCTTTAAAAAAAATACTGGCGAAAAGTTATACTCAGCCATTATAATTTATTGGCTTCTAAAATTGACAGAAAGCTAAAAAAGTAGCCTAAAATGTTATCCTTCATGCCACTTAAAACATTGTAAGCTTGTTTCAATTTCTATTGAGTGAATGTGGCAATGTACTTACCATAAAAATCTGCTTTATCACCTTGGCTAATATCATTCAGCTGCAGAAGTGTCATTATCCAGTCAATCACCTGATTGCATGAATTTGAACTTTTATTAGAAGATACATTTAGAATGAATATTTATTAGTGAAACAAGGCTTTCACTAAATTATAAAAAAACAATCTTTTATACCATCCAAATAATATTGATTCAAACCTGTAAATGGAATATCAAGTTCAAACCTGGCAAGGATAAAATATAATATTTCCATTATGCTACTTGCAATTAAAATTCATGCTGGGATTTAAATTGAAAATATTTAACCCAGATTCATGATTAAAAAACAATAAATTCACACACGCAACAAACAACCACTATCGTCCAGTGGTAACGATGGATAATTTTGGAATGGAATAGAGTCTGTCAGATCACATACCTTTGATAAAGTGGCATTCCATGGTTTACTGATGAGGTTATTGACAATGCCAGGAAGATATCGTTTCATGAATGCAAACATGTTGCCCAGATCAGGCACCTGAGTTTGACTCTGTGCTTCTCTAGAGCTGGTAGTTTTCTCCACCTCCGGCTTGACTTGTTTTGAATCTAAGAGTGCATCACTGAAGCCCCAAAGGACATGATCTGGGTTGACTGGGTATGTCATGGCAAGTACAGCGGCGGTCACAATGTTTCCTACGCAACTAATCACCTGAGAAAAATAAAAAAATTAAATATTTTTCATTTCATGTACTTTCAAAATTGTGCAGGTGTGGCAACTAGATTATGTGCAATATCTTGAGGTGAAGCCAGCAACACATGAACATGAACTCATATCTAAGTATCAGCCAGAGTTAATCCAAATACAGTAATCACATTGAAACATCTTAATAATCATCCAATACCTTGTCCTTAGATGGGGCTGTTTCTGCTAAAGGCATGGCCCCAGTCACAACAGTTCGGGTGTGGCCCAACAGTTCAAGGAACCACTGCTGACGGGCTACAGGCCCTGATGGGTCATCTCTTCTCTTGGAATAAGCAACCAAGCAGTGTGAGAGTAACAGCATTCCCATGTCATGGTTCCTAGGAAAATATAGAAACAAATGAACACTTTGTTGCTATATCCTACTGAACCAACATTGTTAAGGGAAGAATGGTAAAACTTAAGGTAAAAAAATTTCTGTGAATAATAGAAACAATTTTAACTTTGTTGACTTAATGATTTTGTATATATTTTTATTGTTTGAAATGTTAAAATTTAAAAAAGTCAAAATACCAATAATTTGTGTTGAAGGAGGCATCAATCATATAGTTGAGCAAAGAAATGGGTTGTCTGCCCTGGGCCACCAAATAGCATCTGATGAAAGAACCTTTGATCTGAGTTGTTGCATCAGAGAAATCTGCCACAATGATGGAGTCCATTACATCGTCTGGAAGCTGAGCCAAACATTCCCCCATAGCCTGGAGCATTGGTACCTGTCACACAGATCAACAATGATGTCACTGGTTGGAGAATTGTTTATCATGACATGCTGGCTTTTTGAAGACAGGAGGGGGTTTTAAATTTCTGTCAGACTATTTTCAGAGTACACAGACTAAAGAAACTTAAAAAAAAAAAAAATTCATTTTATATCACCGTATGCTGTTATATTCTTTCCCTGCTATTTAGTTTGATTCTACTTTGACAAAAAAGGTACAATCAAAGTCCATATAGGACCCAACTATTTGCTAATTAATATTTTTTACATACATCAAAGTCATCAGTTATCGCCTGGTACAGCTGTGATGTTGTCTCATAGAGTTGGAATGTCACAGCTTCAGGGGGATCATTCACAGCCAGAGCGTCTCTCAGGCCTTGCAGTACGGCCAGTCGGAGACTCCTGGCCATGTTGTGGGTGAATGCCGGCAAACAGCTGCGTTCTAAATACAGCTTCAGGACAGATGCAGAAGTTGACTTGATCAGACCAGGCATGCACAAATGTAAGGCAGCTTGAGTGGGTGGCTGGGGAACAGTGAGGCAGAAAATAAGAAAGTTGAAAATTTTCTTCAAATTTAAAATACCGGAATTGATGACATGGATATATAATTTAGATAAAAATTTAACATAAAACATTCTTAAATAAACTCCAGTTGGAATTAAATAGTGCAGTAGTGTTTAATTTCTATTGTGATTCAAATTTTCTAGAACCATTTTATAAAAAATTGTTTTGAAAAAATTGTTACTAAATTTTACAAGAATGTCTTCAAATAAATGAACTATTATGAGAGAGGGGGGAAAAAAGGATTTTTAACAGTAGTTATTTTAAAGTATTATAAATTTATGTCAATTAAGAGTAAGGGTAGGCAGAAATGTAAGATATAATGGTTTGAAAATGCCAATAAATCAATCATGACATTGTTCACCTTCAAGGATGAGTAGAGAGGGGGAGTGATCCAAGATGATATGAATAATGATGCACTCAGGGAGGATTGCATCTGAGCTGAGGCAACTTGGAGACACAATGTTTTTATTTCATCTCCTGTGGATGTGAAAAAAAAAAAAAGGTATTTGTACAAACTCAAACTGACTTACCCCGGAACTCAATCTTTTTATGAAATTATGTATACTGTAACGAGGATAAATATTTGCCTTACCATATTTTATTTGGGGGAGTGATCAAAGATGAAATAAAAAATGATGCACTCAGGGAGGATTGCATCTGAGCTGAGGCAACTTGGAGAAACAATGTTTTTATTTCATCTCCTGTGGATGTGAAAAAAAAAAAAAAGGTATTTGTACAAACTCAAACTGACTTACCCCGGAACTCAATCTTTTTATGAAATTATGTATACTGTAACGAGGAGAAATATTTGCCTTACCATAATTTATTCTCATGAAGGGGGATAACATGACTGCCCAGTTGACAGGAGGGAGTGTACTCTTCACTTTCAGACTCTCTAATGCTGCCTGAATCTGTCTGATAAGGTTTGCTTCAGGAACTGAAGAAAAAAAACAAAATTACATAAAATATTTGGATAATTGATAATTTCAGTTGAAAAATAGAGAATTAGAGAGTTACACTGTAATTTTTCTGCACCGTAGAGGTAATCTCTACTCATATAAAGATTGATGATAAAAGTTTATGTAATTTTTCTGCTCTGTGGAGTTAATCTCTACTCATATAAAGATTGATGATAAAAGTTTATGTAATTTTTCTGCTCTGTGGAGGTAATCTCTACTCATATAAAGATTGATGATAAAAGTTTAAGTCAGGGGTATAGAGACCTGATTGGCCAGCCTCCAGTAAGAAATCAAACAGCGCTCTCAAAATGCTCCACTCTGGCAGGTAGCTGTAGCTGGACGGAACTGATTCAAGAAATAAATAACCAAACTTTTAATTTCTATTTGTCTTATTTTGTTAAAAGACTTAATTCTTGGAATGAGATGAAAATGATCAATATTTTAAAACAATATTTTAATTGATAAAACTCACCAGAAGTGCGATTGTCAGTCACTGCTGAACAGGCAGACTGATACAAATGTCCCAACATCCAAGCGCTGACACTTTGTAGGCCAAGGTCACTGTGTTCTGACACAATTTTTGTCACCATAGTTATGACCTCAGACACATTGACATCGCTACCTGTGATCATTGAGCTGCCCCTAACCTAATTAGTGTGAATAAGTATACTCTGTTTTACAGTATTAATATAATTACTCTTTATTCTTGAAGTAAATATGGTAAAATTAATTTTTTTAAAAATATTGGGGGGTTTGTATCA